GGGGCAGGGGGGTGCTACTTTTCATGATAAAGCAAAAAATAATAGAGACACAATAGATACAGTAATTTGAACAATAACATGATGATGAGCAAACTGTGAACAACAATTACAATTCAACTCGGCACCAGAGCGACACAACTCGGTACAAGAGCTGGCAGAGCACCCCCCTACTATAAATCATGCTGGATCCATCCCAGGTAAATCGGGCGTAAAGTAGCTACGTACCTGTAATTCCTGCTCTCTCTCGCGGAGTCTCGTGACTTCTCTCCCGACCTCACTCAACTGTTCCCGATTACTTTCACGTAAATTCTTTAATTCTGATTCTTTTTCTGAAACAGTTCAAATCAGCATATTAGAAAAAATATATCATTCCTTCGTCATATCTTTGAGAGAGTTGGTAAATAAACATGACATCCAGCAAATGTACTTTCGTATAATAAAATCTAAAGCTGTCGAGGGAGAACAGTTTAGAACTGATAGAGCTATCCAGTATAAATAAAGTTAGTTTAGTTCAGGTTTCCTCCTGTAGTAACACTGGATCAATAAGAGATGATCCTTACTGGACCTCTAGGAAGAACAGTTTAGAACTGATAGAGCTATCCAGTATAAATAAAGTTAGTTTAGTTTAGGTTTCCTCCTGTAGTAACACTGGATCAATAAGAGATGATCCTTACTGGACCTCCAGGAAGAACAGTTTAGAACTGATATTCAGTGTAAATAAAGTACGTTTAGTGCAGTTTACCTCGTTGGAATTGCTCTAGAACCATCTGTAGATTTTCAACACTTCTCATATACTGGAGAGTTTGTTCCTGTGACTGTTCTAACTGCGCCTGCACTTCATCACGGTGTGCGGTTGTATTGATTAATTGCTCTTGAAGGTTTTCCATTTTCATCGAAGCAGTACGACTAAAAACATCGTATTAAGAATTAAATAAGGCTGTCCACCAACTGCTGCACGATAGTGAAACACACATATTAAGTTAACGAGTGGTATGAAGAAACTGCAACATACTTGCTATCTTGTAATGAATGTGAACTGCTGAGAAGTTGTTGCTGAATCTGTTCCAGTTGATGACGTAATTCATTCTCGCGCTCCTCGGCAGCCAACGCCTCTTGAGTATAACTGTCCTCAACCTGCAGAAAGTTACATTATGAATGAATGATTTAAAATTTCCAAATGGCAGGTGCATGGCGTGGCCAGCGACCGGAAAAACTTGAAATTACAAATTGGTAAAAGTAGCCATACTATTTACAAGTTAAAAGGTTATAAAAGTTAACGATTCGTATATATATAAATGTACTGACTAGATTAAGCACATTAGTTTGAGTGAGTCATCTCAATTGAATCCCATTTTTTGACACAATATGGGATAAAACTGTTTTTAAAACGTTCTGTTCTACATTTAAAAAGTGGATACTTTCAAGGGTTCCTAATATGATTTTTATGGTAAACAGGATCAGGAAGTTCATGTAATTTGTTATCATGGTTTAAAACAGATTTATACAAAGACAAGCATTATCCAGCCCACTCCCTATTGGGGCTTTTCAGTGACCGATTACATCAAATATTACGCTAATGTTACTGACTTAGCCGAGACTATTTATCAAAGAAAGTAGAAATAGAAAGTTCAATGGTAGTTTGTCTTAAAGAATGACAGCATTACAAAAACGTTCCGGAAGATATCAGACATGATTTGTTTCCAGCTCATTACCGTTACTATAC